GTTTCAGCCGTTTTGCAGTTTTCTGGAAGTTTGTTCCAGATTTGTGGTGTGTAAAAAAAAAAAAAGTGTATTCTGAGTACAGTGCCATGTGGAACTCCATCTTTTTGATGAACAAGTGAAGCTAATCTGCAGCTCTGCGTTCTTTCCTTCAGCATCCACCCGAACCTTCGCTCCGTGGTGTACTGCAGTGCCGTGGCGGCTGGCGGAGAGGCTGAGTGGAACTTCACCTGGTCGCAGTTTCAGGACGCTACGGTGGCCAGCGAGGCCCATAAACTCATGTTGGCTCTGGCCTGCAGCAACGACATGCAGCTGCTGGAGAGGTGAGCCTGCCCTTCACTGACCCTGCCTGGTGGTTCAGGCCTCCGATGGTCCAGCAGCCCAAACCAAACGGAAACCAGCCTGGTGTCCAAACTGGCAACTTTAAACCGGACCATAAAATTCATTAAATTCAAAATTCAAAACCTAGTGTGATTTTTTTTTTAATTCGAATAAAATAAAATTAACTTTGTAAAAAAAAAGAAAACATTTCTGATTTTACTGCATAAATACAGATTTTACCATGTAGGAAAACATATGATATGGTTGAAATAGTTTGTGTGTTAAGGTATTATTGTCTCATGTCTTTTCAAAATGCTTGCAAGTTGTTGAAGCAGGTGATTTGAATTGTATGTTTAATTTAATTTTGTTTGCGTTTTCAGAAATACCTTTATGTCTTTTTATGAATATTTGTAAAGGATCTTTATAGTAATGTCTGATGTGAACCTCAGGAAGAATAGTCTCTACTGCAACAGAGGCAAATGCAGATCCTTAAATGAACAACTAAACATTACTTATACCACAGTCAATGTTATGGCCTTTAATAAAAACTATAAATTTAACCATCTGTTAACTGTAGGTAAACTGGTGAGGATCCACGATACAGTTTCACCTGCGAAAAAGAGATTATCCAAATCCTCGGTCACTTTTTCACAGGATACGAACTCATCCACATCCACTTCAAACTGACTTGCAGGTATCTGGAGTTCACGTTAGACCCGGCAAAGATCCGGAAACAGGACGCCACCGCCGTCATCACCGCCGTAGCCAATAACAGAGCGGGACAAAATCTCACCTGGCAGTTTGTCACAAAGAACTGGGAATACATGTTCACAGAGTGAGTGTCAAACTCCGCCGGTAGTTTTAACCACTCAGTTTAAACGGTGTGTTGACTTTTAATTATGTATCTATTTGTTCATTTATTGTTCACCTTTTAAGTCCTGTTGATGTATATAAGTTTTTTTTGATCGACGAGTTTTGTGTTTTTAACCATTTTAACCGTTCTGTCTTTTGTCAAAGTGTTTTTTCTTCTTACAAACCTCCCACTGACGTCGCTTTAGTAATCTGAGATGTTTGTTTGCAGTGTAAAGATTTTAAAATCTTTTGGGGATTTTGCCAGGTATGGTGTGGGCTCTTTCTCCTTTGCTTCTCTGATCAGCGGCGTCACAGCGAGGTTCTCCACACCTGAGGAGCTGCAACAGGTATGTGATTTTGATTTTACTAACAAATACAGCTGATTGAGCTGATCTGCAGTCAAAGTCTGACCTTGTAGGTGAATAATTACTGCATGTGTTTTATCAAAAGAAAGATAGAGATGGTTGTTTTGTTGTCTGGAAAACTTTGAATTTGACTAGATAGATTGGCTGGAATTGACTAAAATGTTTTCATGTCCAACAATACAAAAGAGCCTGTAGAAAATGTGCTGCAAATAGAAGTTGGGATTTCTGTGGTTTGTTTGATGAAGATGTGCAACATGTGCAGATAATAAGAATCATAATAATAGTAGATTTTATTCAGAAGCGCCTTTCAGAGTACTTCTGTACAGATCAAACAGGAAACAAAGAAACGGTACACATTAAAAATTGTGCTAACAAAGTTCCCAGTTTGGCACGCAAAATTTTGAGTGTTGTGTGGTAATTGGATTTTTGTCACTGATTGATTCCTAACAAATTGGCACCCAATGTGGGGCACCCACAGCCCTTAAGGGTGCATTCACACCAGCCCTGTTTACTCTGCTCTAATCAAACTCTAGTCTGTTTGTCTAGAGAGTCCGCTACGTTTGAGGAGTTATGAATACACAATCAAACTCTGATACGGACCAAAAACACAAACTCTAGTCCACCTGAAAACCTAGGCCTTGGTTCAGTTGATGTGAATTTGAATGCATATGTGATTAACCTCTCTAACAGCAGGAAGCAAATTACATGGCATTCTGGGTAAATACAACTAAAACAAATGTGCAAGTCTAGTGCTAGCAGGAGAAATGGTTTGTGGCCTTTCACCAAAGACAAAAGAGAAATCCTCCAATCTGACGCCACTCCACTTTGGTTTACATTTCATGAAGAAGGAAGATGCGCTCACTGTCTTCCTCTGAGGTTCGGTGTTGATTCTTTCAGTGCTTCTTGGTGATGAGGGAACAGATTTTTCAAAAGGTTTGGATTGTTTGAGTGTGAAAGCGAACATCAGCAACTGAAAATGTTTGTGTGTGAAAACTCCCAAAAAATCTCATATTCTACCAAATAATCTCATATTCTACCATAATCTGAATTTGAGTCTGACCTGTGTTCAAGTCTGAGGTCCTGTGGTTCCTTTGATAGTTGCTGGATTTTGAGGAGGAGCACAAAGATGCAGGATTCGGTTCTGCAGCGCTGGCAGTGGATCAGGCCGTGGAGCGGACCGAGGCCAACATCAAGTGGGTGCAGAGGAACAAACAGGAGATCCTGCAGTGGTTCAGTAGCCAGACTGGAAACTAGCAGAGCTAACTGGGCGCTGTGAGTCTGGAAGGAGGTGGTGATGATGAAGAGCAGCCTGAAGGTGAACATGTGTTGGTCAGAATCACAAAGAAAGAATAAATGTCCTCAGAGAACAAAAGGGAGGCTTAACAAATAACAATTCCTCTCAAAACCAAGGCAAAAGGGAAAGCCAGTCATTATGTAGTATAAATTCTTGTAAATACAGTAAATTGAATCTGGTTGTTTTGAAAAGTGTTTCAGCACTGTGTTAATGATCTGGATTTAACTGAAGTGAATTGGAGTCTATTATTCCCTGCTTTACAGTGACATCAGAAAAGCAACACAATGTTGAAAACCAATTAAATATGAATTATTATAAAGTTTTTAACTGATTAAGTAACTGTACTTGTATTATTAGAGTTGATATAAATTATAAAATAAAGATAACTTTGTTTGGTTTCTTTCTGAAGACAAATTCAACCATGTAAAGTAAAGACATCGGGTACAGTTCAAGCACTGACACCCTAATGAATGTTTTCAGCTTGCTACACTACAACAAAACTAAACAATTGATTTATTACTACAATAATAAGACATTTTTGCCATAAATGAAATAATCTACCAGTAGAACTAGAACTTTTTCATCAATATTAAGGAATTACAGACTTAAAAAACAACCTCCCATATCTTGCTGAAAAATAACTTAAAAGTTAAGTTTTGTCTTATTTCAAGTGTACTAAGATATTTGCCCTAGAAACTAGACAAACATATTTGGGGTTTTGCAGTGCAGCTGCATTTCCACTGACCATGCACAGTTTGACACTGAAAATAAATTATCTAAATGGAAATACGAAATAAAAAATAATCTTTCCCTAGGTTGAGGTGTTTTTTTTGTACTATATCTAAATTGGTTTATTTCCAAAATTGTGACGGAAACACTTTTTTCGCATCACGCGAGTCACATGATCAACAACCAATTACTTTTGAAAAACCACGAAGAAGAAGACAACAGGAAGTAGTTGGGCGTGTTTTTAATGACTAATCGAGTGAACGAACTTATTCACGTGTGATTGCGTTTCTTACTTAATGTAAAGACCGAAATTGCGAAACTGTGTTTCTTCGACAATAGCGGGACATTGCCGACCTTTTACGTAGTTTTTCATCGGACTAACCTATGTTCTGAATCAGGAACAACAAAAATAAGAGATCCGGGTTGTGGTTTGGTGTCCCAGTGCTCATCTCTCCTTTTTATTGAGTAAAAACACAGTTCAGATTCAGACCACGTTACACTTACACATTATGGTGAAAACGCAGAGCCAAGAGAAAACACCAGACAGACATGCAGCCACCTACACAACCAGAACCGAACAAGATAAATAAAACAACAAACGTGTGCCACAGAGTCAACCCCCCCAAAAAGACACAAAAAACAAGTAACAGGCCGATGGAAAACTTTGATTTAAAAAAAAAATGAAAGAAATGTCTCAGTCCTGGATGTGATTGTCTATTTTGTCCACTAGATGGCACTGTAACCACATTCAGATCGATTCCAAAAACAAAGATGGCGGCAACGCACGACAGTAGAAATCAGAAGAAAAAAACAAGCAAGACGGTGAAAACAAAATAAACTCCGAGCACACAGAAACTGTTAAAAGTTACACACAGATAGGTTTGTCTTTCTGAGAAGTTCCAGCAGTCAGGACGGAGGTTCTCATGCAGGACACACGGGACAGGAAGACACACAGCTGGACTCTGGCACGGAAAAACAGCTGTTTGATCAGAAGTTCCGGTTAGTTTCATGGGATGAGAGTTAAAATCCATCTGTAAGATGCAGCAGCTCAATTTGATATTAATACTTTAAAATTAACCTTATAATTTGAGAAAAATCACTAAAACTCTAATTAAAAACGATTAAATCCAGCTGGTTGGTAAGCGATGTTCTGGAATAAAAGATCTGGAATCACTCCTCCTGGAAGATGTTTTACTTTTATTTACCCATTTTTTATTCTGGTTTTCAAAACATAATCAATGTATCTGACAGTTATCTCAGATAATTTCTAGAAAACCCTGGACATTTCTGAGCTCCAAAAGTGAAAGAAAGAAAAAAAATCTACTTTTGAAACTCAGAAATTTTCAAGTTTTCTAGCAAATTTTTGAGGTTATTTTAAATAACTGCTTTTTTTTTAGCAATTGTTTTTATTTTTCAAGCTCAAATATTTCCAAGTTTTTTTTCTAGAAAATTTTGGAAATTAATTTCAAATATTTCTGCAATTTCTGGAGTATTTTACAGTTACTCTGTTGGCAGATTTTAGAGTAAATTAGATTTTAGAAACTGCAGCTTTTGAACTTCAGGGGTTGAAAACTTAAGCATCCTTCATACAAACAGGAAGTTTGTGAAACTGCTGGAAGGCGAAGTTCCTCCTCATGCATGGAGCTGCTGCTGACAGACAGGAAGTAGAGGATGGATCGAGTCATGATCAGTCATCAGTAGCTCCACCGCCTGGTGATGGACTGAGCTGAAAACAAAAAACTCCTCCTTCCTCCACTCTGTACAGATGGATGTGGTTCACATGAAGAAACGAGCGCTTGGTGTTGGACCTGAACAGCTGAGGTGTTTCTGTTCTCGCCTTCTGCAGAGAGCAACATGAAGTCCGACAGCTTCCGACGTGAAGCAGATTTGCCTCTCCTGCCTCCGGACGCCGCGGCGGAAATCACTGCAGGATTTTCTGCCTCGTGTCGGGCAGCTTGAGGGCCACCAGGCCGCCGCACACCAGGGCGGCGAAGGACAGGAGGATGGGGATGGCCTTGGTGATCCCCACGAAGCTGGCGAAGATGGAGCTGCCGAGGATGGCGGCCAGCTTACAGAGCGCGTTCAGCACGCCGAACGCCGTCGCCCTGCGACAGAAACACAACCGGGTCGATACGAGCTGCTGCAGGACCAAGTCTGATGGTCAGCAGGACTCGTAGGCCCCGTTCACATGGAAACAAGCGTGTTTTTATAAACAATTAAGAAGAAATGTGCATCTACAAGACAGAAATGGTGCAGTAAATCTGTCGGGCCAATCGGTGGCGCTGTAGCACTGCCAGAGAACGACACCGAAAACACTGAACTGCAGTCAGAGTTGGGTAGTAACTAGTTACATTTACTTAGTAACCTTTTTGAAAAAATTACTTTCAGGACTATTTCCTACGCTGTATGTTTTTACTTTTACTTCAGTAATTTTACTATGAAGTATTTCTACTCTTACCGCCATTAGCACATTTAGCAGCGACTACATGAAGTGATTTACTGCGCTAAAACCCTCCTCCTGGCTCTGATTGGTTATTTTGGTGCATTTTTTCTGTAACTCAGGGAGGAGATGGAGGAGGAGATTGCTCTTTTCACAGATGATCTGTCTCCTAACGACATGATATTTAACTAACTAACTAAATATTTAGTTTGTAAGCTAAATAACAGCCACAAAATATATTTAACGTTGTCAGGAGCATAGCCACTGACAACGGCGAATAAACTGTTTTCCTGTAACGATAAGTTGTTTCTCTGCCATTAGCACATTTAGCAGCGAGTACATGAGGTTGATTGACAACGCTAAGACTCGACTTCTGGCTCTCATTGGTTGCTTTTGTGCATTTCTTCAGATGGCAATAGAAACTCATGGAGAAGGTGGAGGAGATCAATCTTTTCCCAGATTGTCTCATAACATTATGATGTTTTAATAAATAAGTAAAAACAGATTTGTTATAAAAGTTACGTATTTTAGCTTTACGATACTTCAGATGTAGAGAAGAAGTTACCTTTTCGAAGTCGGGTAGAGCTCCACGGTCACCACCTCGATCCCGTTCCACGCAGCGGCGCTGACGGCGCAGAACATGCACTGCAAGGCGATGATTGCTGATTGGCTGAAGCTCAGGAACAGGAAGAAGGAGCATCCGGCAGAAATGAGCATGGAGCCACCTGAGGAGGTCAGAGGTTAACAGAGCTGTAATCTGTGAACCCTCAGTGATAATCCGGTGGATTTCTGGCGTCACCTATGATCTTGACCCGGCCGATCTTCTCCACGAACAGCGCAGAGATGATGTTGCCCGGCAGCACGGCCAGGCTGCCCAGGAAGCTGACCAGGTAGATTAACACGTCGTTCTCCTCCACTGAATCCAGGTGGCAGCCATGTTTGTTGTGCTCGAAAGTGGTGTTCTCCATCCGGCAGTCGATGAACTTCTCCTCCCACAGGTCTGCAGAGAGGAAGGAGGTTCAGGGGAACAAACTCAGCCTCTTAGTAGCTACGTCTTCATTACAAATGTTTATGAATCTTTGTCTATATTCCACTAATGTATAAAAAACAATTTCTCAATTGTGGTGTTTCTATTAAATAAGAAACAACATTAAAGTGAGACGTAAATAAGGTTTATTGTTTACAACTAGTTTGCAGATCATTCAAGTTCCTATTTACAGATTTAGTTTGAAGCTAAACAGTCAGCTTCAAACTAAATATTTAGCTTTAGATTGAGGCTAAATATTTGGCTTGCTAACCAAATAATTAAGTTTTGGCAAAAATATTTAGCCTCATGTTAAATATCTTGCTTGCTGACTAGATAATTAGTTTGCAGCTAAATTTCTAGTTTCTAACTAAATATTAAGTTGCTACATAAACAATTAGTTTTTACCAAAATATTTAACTTGTTTGCTTACTAAATATTTAGTTTAGAGCAAAATATTTAGTTTGAAATTAAATAATTAGTTTTGAGTTAAATATTTAAGCTTCAAATAAAACATGCAGCTTGCAAATTATTTGTTTTGCTTGAAGCTAAGTAATTAGTTTGATAATTAAATATTTAGTTTGAAACTGTGACATTTATAATTAAATGAATAACATGGTGAAAATATCAGTTTGAAAATGAGCTCCCACTTCTTCTGTTATTACAGGTGAAATATAAATAAACCAAATTATTGCTCTGAATTTCTGCCTCTCTTAACTTCACAAACGGCACATCTTTATTTATCAGAAATGTGTCCATTTAATTAGACTCTAAATGAAAACATCTATATAACTTACGGATAAATCACAACTCAAAGAACTCAGCCTGACACTATCTAGAATATATTCTACTATATTTATAGAGTTCAATATGGAGAGAGTATATTCATTAATTGGATCTAAGAAGAACCTGGTAAATATTCCTCAGCAGCGAGCAGCTCCACCTCCAACCAGCCGCTGACCCACCTGTGTTGTAGAAGACGGTGGAGAGGATGGTGCAGTTCTCGAACACCGTGTTCGTGGACCGGATGTCCTCAAAGGTGCAGTTATCGAACAGGGAGTCTTCGAACCTCACTGATTTCATCTCGATGCCGATGAACCTATGAGGATGGGATGGGACACACAGCAGCAGACAGACACAGGGCCTTTCTCAGTGCACAGCTCCGACTCCTGCTTTTGGGATCTCAGGAGAAACAAAGCCTTCGGGAGCCAGAGTGGAAGAGTTTTGTTGTTTAAGGAAACAGAACGTCACCCTCTTCAAAATAAGAGCAAGAATATAAACATCTAACTACAAAACTTCAACGCAGACGTCAAACTTCACTCAGCTGAAAGTTTGCAACACAATGAAGTAAATCAGTGCTTCAGTATTTAGCCAGAACAATTAAGTGCAATAAATGTTAAAAGCTAAAGAGAAAAACAAAAAAATTAGCTCCACCAACATGAGATTAGCTAATCCAACATATGAGAGATTTAGCGGCTGTCGTCTTAAGCAAGGCTGACAAATCAAAAAAGGTTCTGAAATACTGAATTCCTCATTTCTTTTCCTTACACACTCAAATCACCCAACAGATCAGGAAACATTAGTAAAAGTCAGATCTGGATTATCTTACTTCATATTTTAGATATTCAATTTCTCATTTAAAAATATGACAGTATTAGGGCAATACTAAGAAAAAATCAAATAAAAATAAAGTAATAAAATTCCAAGAATAAAGTCATATCACGAGAATAAAAACACAAATAAAGCTAAAATAATATGAGAATAAAGTCATAATATTTTGAGAAGAAAGTCGAAGTATTATCACTTTGTTTTTGTAATAGTACCAGACTTTATTTTTGTATAATATTATGACTTTATTTTCATATTATTGTGATGTTATTCTCAAAATATTATGTCTTTATACTCTTAGAAGTTTATCCTCGTAATATTATGATCTTATTCTTGTAATTTTATTACTTTAGTCTTGGAATTTTATTCTTTTTATTTTCTTAGCATAGTCATAATACTCTGTTGTAAAATAACTGGCCCTTTTAGCAACGATTGTAAAGTCAAGAAACAATAAAAAATAAAGATGTACGTCTTTATTTTTACCTTTTTTGCTCCTAAACATAATAAAAAATAGTCTTAACTACAGTAAGTAGCGTTTTATGAATCCCAAAGAACACGAGTGGAGAGCGTAACGCAGGTTGAGAAAGGCCACCATCCACTTCTATTGCTGCAGAATGAACGAACGGGCCCAGCGTGGAAACGCCAACATGTCTCATGTTCCAGCAGCATGTTGGGCTCGGAATGGTGGGTTACTGGAAGTTCTGCTGTAATCCCAGTAAAGGGCCCATTCGGTCTGTGGCATTCTGCTGGAAGCATAGAAGTTTCATGATATACAGCAGTGGTACGTACTGTATATCTGCAAAGTCTCTGATCCTTTGGTCCAAACAAACATTACAGCAAAGGTCAAAGTTCACTGTAAAAATATGAATGAGTCATGAATGTTTCAAATCAAACAGGAAGCAAAAACAGAGCAGAAACAACAGACTGAAATTTGCTTTCAAGACATTTTAGATATGAAACTTTTCCCAGTCAACCGAGGCGACGACGTGTCAAAAACAGCGTAAATTATCACAGGATAATCTGACTTCCACTCAATTAGTAACTGATTAATCCATGTGTTCCTAACCTTAACCAGCATTTAATCACATCATCTCTGTACACCAGTGTTTCTCAGACTTTTTCAAGGAAAACCCATTTAACACTCTGAAACTGACCTCGCATTAACGCGACATCTTAACATTACAACCTGGAATAAAAATGTTTAAACTACTTTTCTTTTTACCAAACAAAAGTTCAGCAGTTCACCTGAAAAACTGAAAAATATTCTTGCAGACATGAATTAATCCAATAATATAAGTCAGGGGTGTACAAACTTTTGGCATGGGGGCCAAAAAATGCCAAGTGTACAGAACTATAGGGGCCACAAAACGTAAATGTCAAACACTGTTGTTTTTAGCTGCTAAATAAAAAGTAAACTGAACACACAATATTTCATTTTATTCTTAAATAAAAAGTGCAGCTCTGAAGGGAGACATAAAACCAAATGAAGGACTTCCTCTCTGCCTCTGACTTACGTGTCCCGTTTGTATTCTCCCTCTTTGTGGATCTGGTTCTTCAAGGGAAAGTCGAATCTGACGTCCACCACTCGTTCTCTGTGGAACGTCTGAAAGAAAACAACATCAGTCTGTGCAGAGGTTTCTTTAAAACAAGTTTATATTTTAGGTCTTCACTGCAGCAGGAACTTCCTCTTCCCACCAAGAAGCTTCTGTAAACTAAACATCTGTTCTCTGTTAGGTTTATGATATTTATCGTGTTTGGTTTTATCATGTATTTGTGCATGCAGTACGTTCAGTGAATGTCGTAACTCATTGGTTTTACAGCCTGCTGTCATTTATTAAGATCTTTTGTTGATGCGGTTTGCACTTCAGGGCCACCGTAGTTATATAATTCATATTCAAAGTAAACCTGAAAGCTGCTGCAGGATTCTGTGATTTACTCAGATTTTGGGTCATTTGGTCAGGAGATAATGAAAACATGTGAAGAATACAAGTAAACCAGTTTTCTATTAGGATAAGCTGCTCACCTTCACCTTGGTCTCATACTCCTCGTACTGCAGGTGTTTGATCATGTCGGGGAACCACACAGACAGGCCGTAATAACTGGATAAAACACAGCAGAGACGGCCGCATGCGATTTAAAACAACACAAATTTAATTTATTTTTGGAAAACTTGGAGATAAACGAAAGGAGAACAGAATTATTTTTCTGTGTTCATAGCCTAGATGCTTTTCCTTTCTTCATAAATGTGCAACTTAAATTAAGAAAAATTATTTGCTTAGTGAAAAAAAACGTTTTGTCAATAAAAAGTGTTTTTTCAGCTGTATTGAAATTAGTTTATTTCATAAAACTGCAATGGAAAAACTTTTTTCGCTTCACATGAGCCATGTGATCAACAACCAGATGTTACTACTGGCAGAAATGACAAAGAAGACGACAGGAAGTGGGAGGAGGATGATGGCATAGCACGATTTTTAATTACTTATTGTGAACAAATTTATTCACATGTGATTGTAATTGTTTTAATTCCTTAATCAAAATGCAGCAACTGCAAAATTGTGTTTTTTCAACATCAGCAGAACATCATAAAGTTTTGTGCTCATTTGTAAAGTAAGCTGCAGTCAGGCTGGACGATGAGCGTTGAACTCACCTGAAGGCCATGCAGAACCAGATGGTGGCCATGAAGAGAGTGGCAAACCGCAGCTCTGCAGACAGCAGGGACGCCATGTTCCTCAGCACCTGCAGCAAACACACAGCAGCCTGTTCACCTCACCTTTACTCCACCTGGATGCTCGTCAGGTGTGAACACAGCCAAATACCAGAAGGAAGAAAAAACACAGCAAAGGTCTGAAGCTTTCATCCAGTTTGTCCCATTTAAAATCAGGCAAAACAATCAAATTTTTATGTACATTTATCCACCTGAAGGACTAGAATGTGCATAAGAGGATCAGGGCTACAAAACAATAAGATATTATGACCAATTATCAGAATTCTGACTTTATGGTGGGTTCACACCAAAAGCGTTACGTGCGTCAAAAGACGCTTCAAGTTCGACATGTGTGCACTTTCAATGCAGACGCTTGACATTTTGCAGTTTCTTCCTTGTCTTAGGATTTGTAGACCTGCACTTTATCCACACTGAAAGCCTGTCAGGGAGATTTGGAGGATTTGAGTTTTAAGACTAGATTTCCCTCAAAGTGCAAGAAAAATGTAAACAATTCTGATTCTGAGAAAAAAAAAGAAGCCAGGATTACTGCAATTAGTATCTAATCAAGTCTATTTTCCTTGTCCTGTGAAGTCAGTTGAAACCAGACCAGTCTGAACCAGTTTGTGTTCCTGGCGTACCAGTTTGCACAGTGTAAGCGAGCGAACGGCCCAGCGCTGCACCGGCGTTCCAGTGCCGCTCTGGATCTCAATGAGTTCGTCTTCGGCCATCTTGGGCGCCTTAATGTGAGTCACCTGGCAAACAGGAGAAAAGCAATGGATTCACTGGAGCCTCAAACCAGAATTAAACTGGTTTAAAGTCTATTTTAATAATGCAAAAACTGTCTTTTATGCAGTAAAACAACTTTTTGTGAAACAAGCATCATAAGAATGTTTTACTATTTATTACCATGGATGATTTGTCAAGTTAAACATGTTTAAAAAATAATTTTACTGTACAGTTAAATAAAAAAATACTAATTTTGTCAGATTTTCTAAAATTCTAATTGAAAGAAAGAAAGAAAATGAAACTGTACCATAAATACTGAATAGAAAATGCATGTTCAAAGCTCTCATTAGCTTCACCTGCATGTGCAGATCCACTCAAACACAAACACAGAAAATGCACCTTTTTCTTTTTAAGCCAGAAGAAAAAAGCATCTAAATCCTAAAAATACATCATGTTGACGTAGGAACGTGTCAGGAAAGGCGAGCTGCTCTTCGCCGAACCAGGTAAGAACTGGGACAGCAGGACTGTGCATGAATCTATTTAGAGTCGAAAACATGAGCTTTGCTTTAAAAGCAGCTATATTTTGTGGTTCCTAATATCTGTAAAACAATCTCCTGATTATCTGTTTCTGCGCCTGCTTGTGATTTTCTGTGATGATTTTCATGAACTCACAGTGAAGACTTTTTCCGGTTTCCCTTTGGCTCTCCAGTTGGTGTCATGAACCTGCTTCAGGATCATCCACGCCTCGTCGTGTTTGGCATGCTGCTCAACACACACACACACACACACACACACACGCACACACACACACACAGTATATCAGGAAGATTTTGGGATTTAATCCACCAAACTTCAATACAGACAAATTATTATATCAAAAATCTGAGTGGATTCTTTTAAATTTTTACAACACACTTCAAAAACACAAAATCTTACAAAATTTTTTTTGTCTAATTTCCAGTGTAAATATCTTAGTACACTTGAAATAAAACTAACTTACAAGTAAATTTTCAGGATGATAGAAGAGCTTGTTTTAAGCCAATAATTTCTTAATATTGATGAAACGGTACTGGTTCTGAATGTTTTTTGGGTTCAGGCTGTTTATTACGATGATGTATTATGGCCATTGTAAAAAGAAAAAAAAATGCAGGGATACATTTTTTCCAAAATAAATAAATAAGTAAATAAAAATATTATTTATTTTATGTTTAAAAAATGTGTAAATTTTCAGAGAAAGAGTTAGAAATTTCTAAGTTTCAAATGTCCAACATTTTTTACTTTTGGAAAAAAAAAGTCCATGTTTTTTCAAAAAAATTTCTGAGATTAATCTAAAAAATGTCTGAGTGTCAAAACATAGTGATTGGTGTCAACAGCAAACGTCTGCAGGTATAAAAGCAAACAGAAAAGAGCAAACTCTGTGAACTGTGGAGGAAATGACATTAAAACCCAGCAGAAACTTCACAGAATCCACAGAAACATCCATTAAAAAATATGAGAGTTCTGATGCAGCTCCTATTAAAGCAACATCCATCAAAGCTGCCCAAAGGCAGCAGCTGCAGTAAAGTTGTATACATAATGAGCTCCCAGCAGGTGCAGCCGCGGGGTCTCACCTCCAGCAGGAAGCGGGGACTCTCCGGCATGAAGGTGAGTCCAACCAGAGACGTGACGGCCGGAAGAGCTGCAATGATGACGAAGACCCGCCAGCTGTGGAACTGGAGCTCTGTGCCCATACTGAACCCCCAACCTGTTCAAACACACAACGATGATGATGATGACGATGATGACAGCCAATCAGAGAACACCTCTCTTCTGCTCTACACTGCAAAAACACAAACTGTTTCCAAGTATTTCTGGTCTAGTTTCTTAGTTTCTGCAGTTGTTTTTCAGGTGTATTTTACAAAACTGCAAAGGAAACACGTTTTCACCATCACATGGTATGATCGTCAAGAACCGGATGTTACTACTGGCAGAAATGACAAAGACGACAACAGGGTTAGTTTTGTCTTACTTCAAGTATATTGAGATAGAAGTGAGACGGAAAATACTTGGTAAGAGTTTTGTTTTGCAATACAATACAGATAATTTAAAAATAGCAGAGTAAGTCATCTTATCATAAAGTCTTAAGCATGGATTCGTACCGTATCTCGGGATGACTCCCCAGGCGGTGAATGAGGCGTAAATCCCACCGAACATCCAGAACATGCACAGCCAGGACAGATGCTCCCCTCTCTTATCCATCTGCAGGAACTCGGAGAAGTACGAGTAGACGATGGGCACCGTGCCGCCGATGCTGACAGCGTCAACAGAAAACACAGGAAATAAAATACAATCAGGAACGGGATTTAACAAGAGAAACGCAGTACTGGTAAAACAGATAGCAGGAAAGAAAACAGGAAGAAAAAAATAGGTATAAATCAAGTTAGATGTAAAAAGAAAAGACAAATTCAAGGTGAAGATGCTGCAATTGTTTTCTTTAAGATATTTTATTTATCCAAGATATTTTAAAGATGTGTTTCTGACTCTTCTGTGTCAGAACCTTATGTTATCTGTCAGATTCATCAGGCAAACTGTGCATGCCTCAGTGGCTCTGCAGACGGTTTTTACTGTTCAGCTCAGTTTGTGACCTTGTTTTTCAGTCCCAGCGGATCGCAGTTATTCTGAGAGCAACTCTGCTGCGTCACTGCAATCCAACACCGACTCGGCTGCAGCTGCATGCACGAAGCTCGGCTCTCGCTGCTTTCACAAAAGAACAGAAAATTCTTTCACTTTTGTATCTTTATCAACTATGTACTGCAAAAACTCAAGTATTTTTGTCTAGTTTCAAGTGCAAATATCTTAGTACAGTTGAAATTAGACAAGACTAACTTAAAAGTAACTTTTTCAGCAATATATAGAAGCTTCCTTTAGGACAATAATTCTTGAATATTTATGAAAAAGTTCTAGTTACATTGGCAGATTATTTAATTGACAAAACATTTTTTCCACCCGTCAATGGAGCAAAAACGTTTAAACCAATATTAAGGAATTATTAACTCTAAACATCTCCTGAAAAATTACTTATGAGTTAGTTTTATCTTATTTGAAGTGTACAAAGTTATTAGCACAATAAACTAGACCAAAAATACTTGGTAAAATTTTGTGTTTTTGCAGTGTGTCTACAGAAAAAAGATAAAATATATTCTTAAAGGGGCAGTATTACGTATTTTTCAGGCTAATAGTGCCATTTTCTAGTATTATCAAGTAACTATGTTACCAATGGATGGAACTCCCCTGGGGTTGCTAGGTAACGGGCTGAGCTCCCCTCGAGTTGCTAGGTAACGGGCTGAGCTCCCCTGGGGTTGCTAGGTAACGGGCTGAGCTACCCTTGGGTTGCTAGGAAAAAGGCTGAGCTCCACTGCGGTTGCTAGGAAACAGGCTGAGCTCCACTGGGGTTGCTAGGTAACAGGTAGTGGCTTCTAACTTGTGATGTTTCTTTCAGAAGGTTTTTGAAACAGCTCATTTTCCAGACACCAGAAAACATTAACTTATTGCCATAAAAGCTCTGGGTGGTTTTTTAAGCGTTTGGCTGTTTTCAGAAGTAGAAGAGACAAAAATGGAAACACTAAAATGATACGTCTTCTTCAAATACAGGAGTAACAGACTCAGATATGTAATAGGCTCTGTGTGGATGTTTTAGGAGATCCATTTTAAATAGGCTTAAAAAATAAACAAGAGCCTTAAAAAAGCTCTTAAAGTTGACAGAGACATTAAACTTAACAGAATGATGGCTTAGTTACCCAATGCCAGACAGCAGCCTGAAGAAGAGGAAGAAGCCGTAGCTGCCAGCAAACGATGACAGGAAGGCAAAGATGCAGTTTATGCCCAAAGCTAAAATCAGGCAGCGCCGACGGCCCGTTTTGTCAGCCAGACCGCCCCAGAGGAACGCGCCGACCATCATGCTCAGAAAGACCACCAGACCTGCACGGAAACACACACATTAAATGTAGTTATTTTTGTTTTATGTCTGATCATCTGGTGCAGAAACTGCTGCTTTGCATCAAACTGCCTCAGAAAAACCAGCCTGAAATAACTCTGTAGGGTAATAACTAGTTACATTTACTCAATTACATTTACTTGAGTAAGTTTTTTGAAAGAAAAAAAACTTTTAGGTAAGGTAATGTACACAGATGGCACATTTTCATCAACAAGGCAGTTCAAAGTGCTGTACATGAATTAGAAGGAGATACAAACAAAACCAGAAGAAAGACAAAAAACTAAAGTAAATATTGGTTAATAAGAATAAGTAATCAATAATTTATAAACTAATACAGGTTTCTCTGGATCTTAGGTTTGTTCTGGATTAGAGAGACATAAAACTAAATGTTGGTTCTCCATGTTTGAGTTTTGTTCTGGGTGGCTAAATAAACTAACAGGAGTTTAGGAAAATTTTACTGTATTAGTAATTTTATTATGAAGTATTTCTTCTCTTACTTTCTGGATTTTTTTACCCACTGAATGAAAAATAAACATGTTTTAACCAAAATCTCACCAAACTCACACCTGCAGTTTCTACCAAGAAACTGATTTGGAAAAATGTTATTTTGCCTGAATTTGTTACTTATTGTCATTTTCATCCTTGAAATACCTAAATTTCCACTTAACTTTATATTTTAATCTGTCTGATTTTGTAATTTTTAAACATTAAATGATTGATAATTTACCAAATACTTTCTCACTCTTACTGGAGTCATTTGTTGGATGGCTAGTTTTTACTTTTACTCGAGTAAAAATATGTTGAAGTAGTAATACTCTGACTTGCATAAAAAAGTCCCTCTCTCGTTAAAAACAAAGTGCTCTGACAAATGAACTCGACCCGGTTCAATACCATTATTCATCTCGTCAGACGGTCAGGCTGATTCGACCCATCAGGTCTGAGTCACGTTTGCTCGCTCAGCTCTTTCTGAAATCTCCAGACCTGCCTGCCAAGAATAAACCCGATCGATGCCAGAAACCAGCTGGTGGACGGCGTTTCGCCAGATGGTGGTGCAACAGGGGGCAGCAGACGCTGTGACTCAGCGCGCGGATCCCAGGTTATGAAACCCCGTTCTTTATGTATTTGTTTTTTAGGAGACTCTGCACGACTCCTTTCAAGGTCAGCATCGATCGGTCCGCTGCTGAGTCAGAGCAGAAACACAGAAGGAGGTGGAATCGGCTCTGAATCGAAGCGCTGCAAGGTGGGCGGACGGAGGAGGCATGGGACAGACCAGCAAGAAGGAGATCAGAGTTTCAGAACAGAGTTTGATCGCTGCAGGGTTCCTATCTGATGGATGAAGAGGAGGATGATGAGGAGGAGGAGGAAGGGGCAAGACTTAACTCCGAGTTGTTGTTTGGAGAAGATGCTGGGAATAAAATGTCTTTCTAAAGAAAGACATACAATAAAAGTCAAATGATAAATTTGACTTTTATTGTAGCAAACTGGCACAGAGAAAGTGTTTCAAAGGTGACCTATTGTGCTTTCATGAGCAGGTTCAGATAGGTTTATGTCCTACACAAAACCTGTTCTTTGATAATCAGATTTCAGTCTGATCAGTTCTGACTGGATGTTTTAGGCCGTCTTGTCACTTTAAATCCAAATGAGCTGCTGCCCCCCAACTCAACATTTACAGTCGCATGTGAAAATGGCTGCAAACAAACGCAAAATTATACAACCATACGTCTTTGAAAAGCAGAAGTGGAGCCTTCTGCACATTTAACAAGAATGCAGCAAGTGGTTTCTGGATGGTGAGTCAACAACAAAACACTTCTCTTTTCCAGCAGCCATTGTTCAGCACATACAGCGGTAAAACCAGCTGACCAAATGTGCTGAAGCTCAGCTGAGGTTGCTAGGTAACGGGCAGAACTCCGCTACAGTTGCTAGGTTACGGCACAGTACTCGTCAAATATAACTTAACAATCAGGTTATTTTAAATGGCCCATTTTTCCAGACACCCCAAAAAACAGCCGGATGTTTTTAGTTGAGACTTAAATGGAAGTATAAAAACAAGCAAAATGTGAATTTTGCATAATATTGATAAAATATTGATATCCAGGCATTAACCATATTGCTACACTTGTAATCTCCAAAATTTAAAAGGATGTAAGTCCTTTATGGCTCATCAGCAAGGACTCTGAGTACTGAAAGGTTAGTACTCAGAGGAATCACAAAGTCACCCATAATAAGACTGAAGTTTAATTATTGGCATATAAATACAATAAAATAGTAAGTTATAGTAACATTACTCTGCAAAATAAAGGACTCTGAACTTAAATTTATTCAAAACCCTCTTGAATAATTCTCCAAAGAAGAGTGGGTCAACATTATTCACTGCCAATTATTGCCTTTTTTTAAATAATTGAAACGATTACCATGGATGGACGATGCTCAGACTCACCACAGCAGCATTAAATAAAACTCTGTCAGTGAGCAGGATGAGCAGTCCAAGACGACTGCTGCATTTCTTTTTCTGCACCATCCATCCAGCTGAGTCACTGCTGCTCATTAGCTAATTAAGCTGCAGGAGAAAGTTAACAGCTCCCTCTGAAAAGCTTTCAGGGCATCAATCACATCAGAGTCACTCTGTTTTCAGACTTTATTACATCTGCTCACATTTTTCAAGTATATTTGTTTGTGTTTGTGTCAGTAAAGCAAATTAAGCTCCATATGAAGGACGACTTCTGACTCTCAGATCATTCACCCCTCAGTCAACTTCCTCTTGGAAATGTTTGCTAGTTAACGACTTCAGGAGAAATAAAAAATCCTGTTTTCCAGTTTCTACTGAGATCAGAATCCCAGAAGGAATCCAGAGAGTTCTGGGTCCAAAACAAGGTTCTGTGACTCAGCACCTTTATAAGGGGAGCCATTTGTAAAGTCAGACAATCAAAAATGAACAGCAATAAATGCCATTAGTTGGCCTGTGAGAAGAGATAAAAATTGGAGTTTATTTTAAGTCTTTATTTCACCACGTTATTCATGAATTTACAAATGTCACAGTTTCAAAATAAATATTTAATTAGCAAGCTAAATATTCAGCTTACAAACAAACATTATGCGTTAACAGCATAATGAAAACAAATACCTATTTTTCCTCTTATGACAGGCTAAATAACTCACATTACTGCTGCTAATCTTACCTTTATGTATAAGTTTCCAAGTGAAATCAAATAAAACACCACAAAGACATAAAACACTGAAATACTCAAACATCGAGGTTGGATACGGATCCTTTGAGCATGTAATAAAATATAAATAAATGAAGAGCGTAAAGCGGCTCCAGAATCTAAGAACAAAAGAGGAAAATGTCCTCCAGTTTAATTAAAACCTGTTCAGGAACTAAATCACAGCCTGTGACTGGAAAATCATCACAGAGACTCAGAGAGGCGTCAGGATGTCGTTCTTTCACTCACAAAACGCAATTTAAACAGAAAAGAGTAGCTGCCAGTAAATCAGTTCAGTGGTATTTATGATGTCAGCTCTTACCCAGCATCCCTTTCTCCGCATTGGACAGACAAAGGTCCTTCTCGGCTGACGGCAGAGCGAACGCCACCACGTAGCATTCGACTCCGTCGGCCATGAGAGCCAGACCCAGCACCATGAAGAGCATCCACTGGAACTTCCCGTGGCCGCAGTCCTGCATGATGTCCTCATACTGCTCCGATAACTCCTCTAGCTCAGACGCAGCGCTGCCGCCTTCTCTGGACTTCTCCCTACGCAGAAAACATTTGGACTCTATTGTTAATACGATGGAATCTGAGAATAACCTCATGACCCACTGTATTATCTCAGAAAGCTCTAGTAAGATGTGCTCTGTATCGTCTGGGTGTTTAACATTTTGGCCTTATTTTTCAGATTCTCTTTAAGGGTTTTCTTATTGTTCTGTGATCTGTGATCGGCTGATACTTACATGAAGCCGATCTTATCTCCTGACCTTAGCCAACCTCTAAAAATCAGCCACTGTCCTCTTCTGCTTTGCAGTGAGAGACGTTTGACTGACAGACCGGACCGCCAGATCATCTGAAGTTACCAATAGTCGCTCCTCTGTTTCCAACTCAGCGACTTTCTTGTGATATTTAGCAACATTTCAGACCAGAAACATCCGTATCGGCCAAGTAGCAGGTCAGGCTTTTTAAAGATCAGAAATTAGTGATCAGCCAGAAAACTTCAACCGGTGCACCGGTAGTTCTCTGTTGTCCTGAAGCACTGATTCCATAAACAATGCAGTTACTCTGCCTCATCCTCATCTTCATCTCAATTCCAGATGCTGGCAAACATATTTTAAAACTTAATAAAAAATATGTTTGTTGCATGTTTATTGTCACCAATAAGACAACAAATATCTACAATATGTGAAAAAGTCCCATAAGCTCCCAGTACTAAATGCTGAAATACACCGCTCAGTCAGAAACAACCAATAAGAGCCAGGAGGAGCATCTTAGTGCTGTCAATCACCCTCGAGTACATTTGCCTCACACCTTCCTCTTTCCATCTGCTATGCTGCATCTGGTTCATCACAACAGAACCGGCTATTTAGTTTGAAGCAAAATATTTAGCTTATTAACTAAATATTTAGTTTGTAAACTAAATGACTTTTCATTTATTTAGGCCATGTTTTCCTGTAATGGTAGATGTTTCTATGCCATTATGAGGTTGATTGACAGCACTAAGACCCTCCTCTTGTCTCTGATTGGCTGTTCCTGGTCGGGAGCAGCTCAAGGAGGAAGTGGAGAATATCGATCTCTTCACAGATTATCTGCCTCAAAGTTACAATAACAAATTTTGCTGGACTATAAATTGTCCCACAAGTTTTCACAATAAACGATAATATTGTTGTTTTGAAACCATTTTCAATAAAGTAATGGTACAATAATGCAAGAACACATTCTCAAAGACCAACGTTAAATTCTAATGGGCATTTAACACTGGAGCTGGAAGACATTTAAAATATACAAAATAAATAAACAAAACAACTGAAACAACAAATGAATTATTAAAACCAAATAGACTTTTATCAACCAGTTTTTGGTAGAAAGAGAGAAAAGATCATTAACAGTAAATCATGTAAATGGAAATTATCGAATTTGTTCCAATTTATCATTGGACTAATTTATTTATTTCTTATTTCAACAGGCCTACTCATAACATACTGTCACGACATGCCGATAGTTTTAATATGTGTTTTATAAATTTGTTTTACACTGTATCTTTACAGAGAGGAGTAATGCCTCACCGTGCGGCTCTCTGTGCGGCCTTCACCTCATCAGGATGTGGAATCCCCTGGTATTCTCCTTCGTACATCTGATCTTCATCGTCGTGTCCCTCCGTCACGTCGCTCGCTGCGTCCTCTTCCTGAGGAGGATAATCCGCCTGGTAGCCGTAGCCGTCAGGACCGCCGCCTTCTCCGTAAGTCCCATAGCTGTCCCCGCCTCCCTGGTGGTACACGTTGTTCTGGTAATGGTCCGCCATTTCAGCTATATCAGCATTTAATAATGGGGGAACTAAAAGGCGAGTTTCCTGTCTCTTCTAGCAGAAAGATAACACAATGGACGTGTGTTATAACACTTGTTTGCACTGTTTGGTGACCAAAAACTAAATCCTATAGAGATCTCTCATCATTTGCTTGTTTTATTATTTGGTTGAAAGTAGAAAGTCAAAGTCGCTGCAGTCATGTATTGTGGGAGGAAAATCAAAAATCCAATCTGGAGTCTTCATTAGTTTGACCCTGGAAACAGAAAAATACGCATTAGTTAATTTCCCCTTAACAGCAGTGCCTAAAGCAAAAGATCAATTTGGGAAAAGTACTCAGAAATTTTAAGATTAATAAAAATAAAAATCTAAATTTCCATTTTTTTCAAGAAAATGTCTGAGTTTGAAAAGTCAAAAAATCTGCTAGAAAATCTGAAATGTTTGAAGCTCTGAAATTTTCTAAAACAAACAAAAAAAAGACATTTCTGAGTTTCAAAAGTCCAACATTTTAAAATTTTTTCTGGAAAATTTCTCAGACTTTTCTCAAGTTTTCCAGTTTTTTTGGTGGAAATTTACTCCTCCTTTTCTTTTTACAGTGTCCCTACACCCTGTTCCACTTCTCTTCATATTCAGTGGATGTGTAGCTCCACTATAACTGTACATACATATTATTATTGCTTAATAGACCTACAACTAAAAGGCCAGGAATGATACAAAACAGTGTATCTCAGTGGAAACAACATAAGGCTCAAACCATGTTATAGTAAATTTCCTTCTCACCTCAATTTAATGAAATGGGATGTTTATATGGGATATTTTGTTTCACATTATCTGGAAGCAATATCAGATTACATCAAACTCTGAGGCTGCTGTTCTTCAGTAAACGCACAGAATAAATCAAATGTTTTCCAGGCTGAGTGTTAAGATGATACACTGAGCAGTTTTCCACTTCACTCATCGCCCATATAACAGATGAACATAAGAACAATAAGCTTCTGCGGTTTCTTTTCTGCTGCTGGTGATCAAACAGCGTTATGCCATTAGGTCAACAGCAGAGCACCATTAGTGGTCAGAACTGCTGCAGTTACTGCGGCACTTTGTTCCTCACAAACCAGCACTGTTTATCCGCCCACCGAGGTTTGTTGGGTTAATTCAACGGGGTGTTGCCCTCGGGGTTTACCTCCATAATCCGGTTCTGTTCCTCAGATTAGGAATAGAACATCGGTATCGGCCGATGTTTGTCATTTTTTCATACATCACAACCAAGCATTTTTGTCTATTTTCTGGTCCAAATATTTTACTATACTTGAAAGACGAAACAAACTTCTAAGTAACTTTTCAACACAATATAGGAGTTTGTTTTAAATCAGAAATTTCTTAATATTGAATAAATAAAGTACTGGCTCCACTAGCAGATTATATCATTTATAACAAGACATTTTTCCAGTGTAATAAGTGAAATAATCTGCCAGTGGAACTGATACTTTTTCATCAATATTAAGACATTTTTTACTTAACACAAGCTATTTCTTGCTGAAAAGTTACTTGTAAGTTAGTTTTGTCCTATTTAAAGTAATCAAATATATTTGAACTCGAAACTAGATCAATACTTGGTCAAACTTTTTGAGGTGTGCTACTTGTTTGCTTGAAGGCAAACAAAAATATGTCTTAATATGCATAGGGTTGAATTTTAATTCTTAATTATTTACCTGCTCTGGTTGGTTTTAATCTAATTCACAAATACAGAATTCATTATATAATTTTAAGTGTTAATTACTTAATAAATTTCAGGTCTTAGAAAACTTATTACAGTTAAAAGTGACAATAATGAGGATTTGGATATTATTTTTGCAAACCATGAGGCTTACAAAAACAAATATGTGTCTATGGCTGAAAGCTTCAATAATCAATAATCAAACAAGGAGAAGATGAACCAAAGGAGGACGAATATTGTCATAATATTAAATTCATAAAAAGCATCACAGAACAGAAGTAAACAAACAAATGAGGCAGATGGAGATAAAGAAAGTCTGTAAATGCAGTGAAACCATCTGATAACAGTGACACGGCCACAGGTTGTTCAGCAGGAAATTAAAAGACTTATTCATCCTGAATGCATCACAGGACTGAACAGAGTTTCAGTCAGACTGTTTCTCAAGAAAAATGCATGATTTGCCATTTTATTGCTAATAGCTTCAGGAATTAACAATTAATTAATTTCTTAGATCTACATGATCCAGGAAAATTAGCAGTCGAGTTCTGCTGATCAAATATTGACGAGTTAAGGGGTCTGTAACATTGCAATATCGCTTACAAAAATCATTTAAGTTTTATTTTCCCCAGCAAACACAACTTTTAATTTGTTTGGCTTAGAGTTGTAGGCGGTACACATAATATTGATTTTAGATGCACTCTTAATTATATGTTTCACATCTCCTCAAATCAGATTTTGTAGTCAAACAAATTAAAGTGAACTGAAGAGGGTGTGAATGCATCTTAACATGAATCCAACCGTGACAAAGAATAACTAAACACAGGAAATAAACATGATCTAACACGTAAATAATTAAACTACCAAGAAGAACTGATCAAAAGCAAAAACAGAAATAAGATTAAACATGAAAAAAGTAGGAAAGCAAACAAAAGAAATCAGCTTCCAGTCTGCAAATCCCACCAAACATATTTAAGGATGTTCACTGAAGAGATACTGCAAAAACACAAAATCTTACCAAGTATTTATGCCCAGTTTCTACTCCAAATATCTCAGTACACTTGAATTAAGATGAACCTAACTTACAGCAAGATATAGGAGCTTTTATAAGTAAATAATTCTTGAATATAGGTTAAAAAGTACAAAGTAAACTCACATTTGTTTAAGACATTAGGGATTTCCACAGGGGAAACCCCACATGATCCTCATGCAGGTCCTTGGTTCATTACATTCAGCGGTTAATAAACAAGAGACGGGGTGGTAGCGTAAAATTTTGCTGAGATCAGACGGTTGAACAATTCCTACTGTCTGTGCTTTATACGCCACAATCGTTAGCCCTTACAGTTCAGGACGGCTTTGTGATCAACGGCATAATGCTGTTTAATTCTGGAGTCAAATGTGAGGCCATCTGCCTGACAGCTGAAGCGTGGCCCTACTGGGTCATCAACAGGACAGGGATCCCAAACACAGCAGATTGGCTGAAAAACAACAGAATCAAGTCAAAGTCCAAACCTCAGCCTGACTGAAGTGCTGCTGTGGGACATTTGGATAATAATCCAAATTTGTTTCTGCAGGCATGTGCAGAAACAAATGCCTGCAAACCTCAAAGAACTGAATCAATACTGGAAGGAAGAAAGGATGAAAAATCCTCTGCAACAACGTGAGAGACAGATACAGTCCAACCTGAAGGGAGAAGGAGTACGGTGTAGGGAACAAAGTCTTTAGGATTCATTCACACCAGACCTGTTCTCTTCAATCAATCTCTGGTTCATTTGTCTAGAAAGTCCGGTTCATTTGTGGAGTTGTGAATGCAGAATCAAACTCTGATGCGAACCAAACGAGTGAACTCTGATCCATCTACAAACCTCGGTCTCGGTTCTGTTGAAGTGAACGCTGGTCAGGTTCGAATGCATACGTGAACACCAAGTGGACTGAAAACTGCTCCAAAAGCAGGAAGTGGAGTGCAGGCAGGGCATTCTGGGTACATACAACCAAAGCAAATACGCGAGGCTAGCGCTAGTGGGAAAAATGCATTGTGGTCTTTTACTGAACACAAAAGAGAAATCCTACAGTCAGTAAAACCTGACATCACTCCATTAGATGACATTTTGTGAAGAAGGAAGTTGCGTTCAGTGTCTTCAGAGGTTTTCATGTCGTTTCCTTCAGCGGATTTTGGTGCAGCGCCCCAACAGGTGAGGAGGGAAACAGGTTTTTCAAAGAGTTTGGTTCATTTGACACAGTGCAGTGTGAAAGAGAAGTGCTGCAGCTGAAAATGTAACAAATGTTGCAAATTTGGTCCCAATTGAACCGAGTCTACCGGACTAACAGGTGTGCTATAACTCTGCACAAGAGTATGACATGGAAATGCTTCAACACCAAAACAGTGTTTTATACCAATAAGGAAGAGTTTTAGTCCATCATCTGGACTGAAACAGGGTTCAGACTGAAGGTGAAACACTCCACCATCAAGAAAAAGAGCCGTCTCATTCTGGGAGATAAAAGTAACACCTGCATCAAAACACCTGGCCCCGTTTCCTGCTCCAGAAACAGCACAGTGAAGCAGAGGCAGCTGCAGAGAGCAGCATCAGCCCCGTCATTTAGAGCAGATTAATAATGCATCGAGTTTCTTTCTACACGGACTGAAGGCGCTTTGCTGCTTCAAAGTGGAGCAGAAGGAAAGCAGCTGCTTTAAACGGACGGAGGATGGATTTTCTTCAACGTTTTTCACATGACCTCGTTTAGAAGAGCATCTAATTGTTGATGAAAGCAGGCTAAACCTGGCCGAGAAGCAAAGAGCTTCACCAAGCTAACCCAAAACAGAAGAAAATAAGATAAATGAAGCTAAAAGAAGATAGGCTAATATGTAGAAAAACGAAATAGACTAAAATCAGCTAAAATGGGATAAACTTAGTCATGTCAGCTCTTCCTCCCTCCTTCCCTCCCAATTACCTTGGTGCACACCAAGTTAGTACTAGCTAAAGTACAACAGATTAGCTCACCAAGCTAATTAATGGCAGGATAAAAACAAAGAAATGTTTAGCTAGAAGTTAATATTGAAGAAGATCAAATAAGCTATATTAAGACAAGAAAAGGTGAAATAAATTCAAATCAAAACAATTAACTAGGATAATGTAAGCTAAGGGAAATAAACTAAACCACACAACACTAATCTAAGAAAAGCTAAAAGTGTCCCAAAACAAGCTGAAGTACAATTTAATACAATATGAAAGGCAATTAAATTTAAAATGAAAGTGAAAATATGGGATGCTATAATAACGCAGCATATGCTAAGCTATCATAAGCGAATAAAAGATAAATAATGCAGGGCTAACCTTAGGCAAGAAAAAATAGAACAAATTAAACTATGTTATTGTTGGTTTAAATGCAAGCTAAACAAAAATAGAATAAGCTACGCTAATGTTAGCTTCAGTAAATTAAGGTATACCAAGCTTAAGTTTATGCATGAATATAATCTAGACTAGAGGTCTCTAAAGTGCGGCCTGGGGTCATTTATGGTTCTTGGACTTAATTTTGTGGCCCCAAACTGCAATTCAAGAAAGATTCAAATTTGTCCCATCCAGGATCGGTGGTGGATGCAGATGGAGACTTTTTATTTGAAATTGTGGTAAAACTATCACAGATAAAGATTTCTTACAATAAACAATATTTAGTGCATCACAAAGTATTTATCTTTTCATAACTAAGCCATATAGTAAGTCGAACCACGCTGGTCTGCTCTGCATCCCCAGAATCAGAACCAAAGATGGAGAATCAGGATTCAGCTTCTTTTCTCCTCTAATGGAGCAAACTTACAGAAAACTGCAAGACTGCCAAAACACAGAGCTTATTTAAATCAAGGCCTGTTTAGAGTTCCCTCTGATTAATAATAACTGGAACTTTGATCAGTATACTTGATGTGTATTTGATTGATGCATTTGATGATGTCATTTGACAAATGTAATGTTTACGGTTTGTTTCATAACTGGTTACTGTGTGATGTCTTGTTTTACTGTATGATGTTTTTATGATAAATCTGAACTCATTTTAAATTCTCTGTGAACTTTCTGGGAGTTTAAATTGCAGATGCCATTAAAATCTGTGAGTTTCTAACAGCGGTTCTGGGTCATCGATGGAGAATGAAACTGGGGAATCCTGCTTCCAGTGAAAAAGATGCCCTGGTTTCTGTGCTCCACAAACAGCAGCGAGCCAACAGCAACAATATGTTTCTTTGCAGTCAAACAGAGTTGGCATGGAGCATGAAAAGGATTTCTGAAACATGAGAATAGTGTTTGCTTTGCTGTGTGATTACATAAGGCTGTCGGCACTAAATCCCTGCTGAACGGATGCTTCAAAAGCTTCCAGCGGCTCATCAGAAACAGATCCATGTTCTGATTAGATCTGAGATATAAAACTGAGAGTCCAAGAGGAAAAAGTTCTGATGCAGATCTCACGGGCTTCATTCAAATATCAGAATACAATCAAAGCCAGACAGAATTTAAAACCTCCAACTGACACAATAAAGAACAACAAAGCACTTCTCTTACCAGGACAAATAATCTTGAAGTATATCCGTTTGTTTTGGGGTTTTTTTGGTGGTGTTGTTTTCAGGAAATGAAAAATCTGCCGTGGACTTTGCAGAGAGCATCCCACGCTGAGGCAGGACTGAGGGAGGAAGATGCCAGCCTTTCCCAGTTTCACTGCAGCGCTCCTCCCTGCTAGCACGACCCCCCACCCCTCCACCCTGCCACGCCCTCAGTGGTTCAGTCCTCCTGAGAGAACCGAGATGAGCTGGAGCGTGCTACGTTCCTGCCAGGAGGGGGGAGGAGAGGCCTGAGGAGGCAGATGGTTGGCTGGTGGGAGGAGGGACGGGATGACAGATGTGTTGACTTACAGCAGAGATGCTCTAGATTCAATAAACGCATCACCACTTTGTTTTTTCCCCTCTTTTCTTGATTGATTGATT